TATTTATGAGAAGAGAATTCATATTCCAATGTTGACGTACAACTTTGTCTTGAAAGTATAATAAATCGTAATTTTATAAGTAAGTTACGACGATACCGAAATTATGGAGGAAGCTAAGAAAACTCTATTTGTATATTTTAGTCTTACGTTTTGGTTCGGGATTCAATAAAAATATAAGCGTATTGTACAAAAAACTAAAAGGACAATCAATGTATTTTTTAACAGAATTGTGGCCTAAAGACATATACATGATCTACATCTATCCTCAATTAAGAAATTTGGATGCATTGTCACCCCTGACGACTAAGGTAGAATATCATTTTTCGAAATTCAAAACGCAGCAACACTAAGCTGCTATTTTACGCTGGTATTCTGTGCGTGAATTGTACTTCCCCGGTCGAGCCGACCCATTCGTGCTACAACCATAATATAACCACAGCGTGGCTCTACCACGTAAAACGTGGACATTTTTATAGTCTTAAAAATAATTTTTTACATAAAAAATGACTATAACACAACAAATTCAAAGATTCGCTTTGCGACACATTATAAATTTAAAATTTTATTATTCCTTGATTACGGTCACCCGAGGCAAGTGTGACAATGGGGCAAGTGTAACAAATGCAAATTATGCGGCCTAAACACGTTTTTTGGTTTAATTCCATTTATTAAACAACACAAGAAATTTTACGCTATTGACTAAAATGACAGTTAAGTATAGCTTGAATTATTTTATCAAAAGACATTATTTTTAAAAACTACTCAACTGGCGATAGACAGCGCAATTTTAAGAGTTGAAGTCAATAAGTGTTTCGATATGTCGTTAAGTTATTTTAAACCAGATACAAGTTGAGTGATAAAGAATAATATTGGTACTTACAAAGTAATATGTTTCTGCGACCTAACATTCACTATTCTTTGAACTACGGATAAAGTTATTTCCCTAATACCGTGTTAGTGTACGTTTATTATGATTATATTATTATAAATTGTTAACGTTCTGCATGAAATTTTATTTTGCACTTGGCATGGCTTTTATTATACTTACAAAACATCCAGAGCTAGTGTAGTAAATCTATTTAAAGGCACACCACTATGTCGGTTAAAACAGTCACACTTGCCCCATGTTGGGGAAAATTCATTGTTACACAAAAATGGACGTTCAAATCGTTTACATAGATCATAAAATATATCGCCGTTAGTATCATCTCATCAATTTTGTTGAAAGCCACAGATAATTAACTTAACTACAAAAAGAAGCGTACTGTCACACTTGCCCCATTGATGGGTAAGTGTGACCAGTCTTCCACCTCAATTAGTTTTAATTACCTCAAATTACAAAATGCTACTTGTAGATGCTAAAATGCTTGATCAAAAATACAACCACTTAATAATTGATGTTATGAAAATGAATTCTCTATATTAAATCCTTACAGAGTAAAAGTATTTAAATGTCGATTATAGTTTTAATTAATTTATGTCACACTTGCCACATGTGACTTATATGTCGTTCTTATTTTGAATTGTTATATGAGACGTAGACGTATCAAATTTTATCTTTTGAAGAATTAAGCACTGTACTCGCACAAATCGAGTGCGTTATGAACAGCCGTTCCCTTGGTCGTATGTTGTCTTGTAACCCTTCGGAGCCGCTGGCTCTAACTCCAACACATTTTTTGAATCTAACGCCTTTGAAGTACTTACCGACTACAGATATATATTATGATAAAATCCATATTCTTTCACTTTATAACTTATTAGACCGGCTAGTGCAGTCATTTTAGAGGTGATGGAAAACGGAATATCTGCATACGTTGCAATCTCGGCAGAAATGGAACACGACAACTAAACCATTAACGGTCGGAACGGTAGTTCTCACCAAAGAGAATACGCCGCCTCTTCAATGGCCAAGGGGTTTTTCCTGGATTTAACTAGGATAGCTCGTGTTAAGACCGCGACCGGGTCATATATGCGTCCTGTTGTCCGTCTATGCCCTTTGCCCAATCAATAGTTTCGAATTACCTTTCTAGGCTGGGTTAGTAGTTTAAATTAGGTAGCTTTAGTTAGTTGAAGGGAACCCTCCAAGCCGGAGGGTATTGGTTGCGCGGAAAAACGAGTACACTCACATTTTACAACCAACTAGTTGGTTAGTAGCTGACTGGTGCCTCCATTTATCCCATCCGCATTCATACCGCACGCACTGAAAGGGGGGGGGAGCTAGAATATGGCTCATCTGGCGGCCAATAAGAAATGCGCCCCGCCCAGATGGAAAGTGGAGATGGCCGACAAATATAAGGACGTCCGCTGCCACCGCTCGCTCTCTTACATCGCAGTTGAAGATAGACGCTAGATGTGGTTGCACCTGTGGCAGTCGGCCACAGGACAACCAAGTAGTAACCGCTTCGCATAGTGCAATTTGCTGAACGTCGCGCACCGCTCTTGCAATGAAGTCACAACACAAAGGTCATCGTTCTCGAGGCCGCTGAGGCAGTAAAAGCCCACAAAAAAAAAATTAAATTGTTATATTCATCTTGAGCTGTTCTTTTGTTTTCTCTTTACTGTCTCCTTTTTTCTTAACAGCTCAGATTTAATTCCCGTCTAAGACACCAGCAAGATATAATAGATTAGGTAATAGCGAGTCCATTGCCACGTGCCACATCAGCCATCTTGATTTGGTTATATGGGAATCACGTATATACAGTCCACATATGGTTAATCTCGCATAATTGATTTCGCCCTACCAGAGAATCGAACCCGAGACCTTATAGCTCCACCATTTTCTGGTTCCTTCGTCCCGGATTTTAAATTAGCACCCTACCGGAGCGGTATATTCATCATCATCATTACAGCCCTTCACAAGTCCACTGCTGAACATAGGCCTCCCCCAAGTAATGCCACAAAGCACGGTCCTGAGCCACCTGCATCCATCGACTTCCTGCATGTCTTACCAGGTCGTCACTCCATCTAGTGTAGTCAATAACGGAGCGGTATATTATACCAACCTATATATTTTTCCCAGATGAAAATCACATGAAATGAAGTTTCACAAGTCCCAACAAACGCAAAGCAATATTTTTTTTAATGAACAAAGCAGAAAAAAGCGCTAGCAAGCGCTTGTAAGCAAAAAAAAGCGCTTGTAAAAAAACACGTTTGCTAACTTCAGTAGCGCTGACACAATCCGCCATTTTGCATATTATTTGTTTGTTTTGAAGTAGAGTTTATAAGTTGTTTTGTGCAATATTAGTTTTAAGTAATATAATGACATGAATGGAAAACTCTCCATAGCCCAACAAAATAACAGCAAACATATACATGTTATTAAAAATTCATGATTGGTAAGTTTTTAATATGAATACTTTACAAACATATATTTAAATTAGGTTAGGTTCCCCAGTTAAAATTAACTTCGTGTCCTAGAGGAAAATAGGTATTTACGATTTGACAGCGCTTACCGCTTACGATCGCCATTTTGCTTACAAGTGACTGCTAGCGCTTTTTTCTGCCAAATGCACCCAATATTTATGGCTTATTAATATTACAAATTTGGATTTGGAATTACAAGTCGAATGAAAGATATTCAAACCAGCCAGTATCTTTTATTTCAGTTTTCGGGAATTTTATTTATAGATCTGACTCTGACTAAGCTCCGTATCTCTAAACCTACCAATTTTATGTATGAGATTTTTTTTGTATAAATCGCTTCTCTGTTTGATACAGAAGGAAACCTTAACAGTTTTTTTAACAAGAAAGAAAAATCACAAAAAATTTATTTGAGACCAATATCTAAAATTCAGTATGTAGCAAGGAAAGTACCAAGCTGGAAAAATACAATAATAACAAATAAAGAATTCTTACTATGGAAATAAAGTAAGTATTTATATTTTGCCGATGGGATCATTTCCATATTTTTATTGAAGTTTACGCGCTTAGACGGTTTCATTGTAAATTCTACGATAGTAATATCAAATAGTACTATCAAAAGAAAGTTTATTTTTAAGGAATACCATTTTTTGTAATTCAGACCAGCAAAGAAGAAAAAGAAAGAAACTAAACCGAAAAGATGTTCAACGTATTGCAAGACCATTGAAAAGGTGAAGAGATTAAAAAAATTGATTGAGGTGAACAATTGCTATTTTCAAAAGTTATCGCGTTTTTCCCTCCATGCGGACTTGACAAATCTACGCCATAATCCACTAAAACCACTTTTTTAATGTAAAAATAACAATTAATCGATAAAAAAAAAAAAAAAACTTTTTGACATGTGCTTTTTATATCATTTATATGTTCAATATGATTGTTAGTGACAAACGATTATTGATTTTTAGGCGCTAGTAGAACACTTACGCGCTTTGCGCTTAAGGCATACAATTATAAAATACTGGGGTTGCCAATTCGTCTGTCAAGCATGGTAGCTTTGACCAAAATCCTGATATGGTACACTTTTATAGGTTGGAATGAATGAATGTATAGATGGATGGAGGGTGCCAACAGGAGACCTCTAGGACTGATAAATACAGAAAGAAGAAAGATTTGTGTGTAAGTGCGTATTAAGTAGTTGAACATAGTTTTGACTTCACTTGATATTGTATTTTTTATACCTCTTTTCAGTTTTCTTCATATTCTTTATAGGTTGAGTTATAAAAGCTAGCGAAACTAAAACGGATTAAAGTTCGTCAATTTGTAGTGAAACTGAGCAGTATTCCTCCTGCTACATCATAAAAGCTCTTAAAGTTTGAAACTGTTGAAACTTAGGTGTAATGCGTTAGTTGTTAATTTCACAGTACGCGAGCAAACTTAATTTCAACCCTGCTGGCATCAATTAAATTGTAAATTACAGTTTTAAGTGCTTATTTACTTCATGCTAGCGTTTGAGTAAAACAACGAGAATAATTGAATTAGAATTTTAGAGATAAAAATGTTTTGAGAAAAAATACGTGAAAATACGTGAATGCTATTTCTACGCATTAGCTCAAAATTTTTAGCTCTGATCCAATGCGAGCTTAAAGTTTTACCCTCACCAGAGCTAGCTGGGAGCGAGGTAAGCTTATTTCCTAGACAATATTATTATAATGAAGACATTGCGTTTTCAATTAAATAGTATTTAGTACCTATATTTAATTAAATATTTAAATAGTATATAATCTAATAAAACTGTTTTAGGAATATGTAAAATTCACAGTCGCGCGCTGTAACATTACTGTGGACCACATGCTCTATGAAAAAGTTAAAAGTTACAGCCTGATACGAGTATATATATATATATATATATATATATATATATATATATATATATATCCCACTTGTGCGCTAAGCCCTCCCCTTATTTCTGAGAGGGTTTTAGGGAAAGGTGTTTCCGCCACGCTACCCCAATGCGTGTTGGCGAACTTCACATGTCGTCGAAATATTTTTTTTATTATTTCTCAGACATGCAGGTTTCCTAACAATGTTTGCCTTCACGTAAATCAGCACTTAAAATTGCAATTAACAATTTCAAGTAGTGTCGGCGGAGATCGAACCCTGTTTGCTCGCTCGTATTGTAAAATTTATAGCAAGTGCTAAGCATCTGAGTTACCATGGCTCTATGAACCTCTCATAAATTAGCGTGTCTTCTGATCAAGACGGATATACAGGCTGTAACTTTACTTTTATATATGTATGTTTAACTGACCCGGCTAACGTTGTACCTACTGTCCTTTTCGGTAAGTGGTGCAATGGGTTTCATTCGGAATTCACTCCGATCCGGAGTTTTAAAGTGTAAATATAATATTTATTACTAAATAGCAAACAAAACACTCATTTGGGATACCACGTACTTAACCCAGAAAAATTAAAAAATGCTCACAGCTAAGCAACTCCTTCAATTTATAAAAGATAGGCTTAGCAGTGAACTAAAGCCATATCAGCGATCACAAAGGGTCTTGCTGGTCGCAGTGATACTGGTTTTATTAGACCAGCATAGTTACTCCCCCAAAAATAACTGTATTCGGCCATTTGGTGTTGGTGGACCTTAAAAGTTTTTCAACACGCGCGTATTCGAAAGAAATGTTATGTCAAAATTCGAAAGCATTCGGTGAAGAGCTTACGGAGATTTTAGAATTTGAACAAATTAACATGAACGTTTCATGATAGAGAAAATGGATAAAAATAACATATAATGTATTTACTTTGGACTGCCTCTGTGGTTTAGTGTTTGTAAGATCATGATGATGATCATGATCTTGGAGTTTTTGGGTTCAATTCCCTGGTCGGGCCAAAATCACGTATTGAGTTTTCTGTTAAGAAATTGTCGGTAGTAACTTGTTTCGCTCCAGCTGTGTTGGATTACCGTTCCATCGGAATATAACAGTGAGGGAATAGAGAATTCTATCAGTGCAGATGGCAAGTTTTCTTTGAGACTGGCCGCCATTACATATTACTTGGCTAGAGGATCTTATTATATTGTATATGATAATATATGAAATTCTTTACTAGCACAGAAGCAGTGTGGATGCATGCTGGGCAGGATTGTGTATAAATAATGGTATCACTATTACTATCTCTGAGTCACTTCTATTGCCTTTATCTATAACTCAAACGTTGAAAAGTGGATTGCTTATATGTTCCAGTGGTTTTCGTGAAAAGCAATATAAATAAACTTAAACAGGTGCATGGGCAGTTGCATCTTACTAATAACAACTCAAAATAATAATAAAAACTGCGGTTGTCAAGTGTGGTAACTATGGCAAAATCTTTTATGAGGCAATATATGGGGGAGAGGTCTACCTTCAGCAGTGGACATGGCTGTAAATAGATGGATGTATAGAAGATAATCTACCAGGAGCACATAACCCACTGAGATGTGAAATTATTAAATCAACAGTAACATTACAACTATGGCAAATATCTCCCCTATGAGGCAATCAATCTATGGGGGAGGCCTATGTGTAGCAGTGGGACTTTAATAATATAGGCTGTGATTTATGGATATATAGAAGATAATCTACCAGGAGCATATAACCCACTGAGAGGTGAAATTATTAAATCAACAGTAACATTACAACTATGGCAAATATCTCCCCCTATGAGGCAATCAATCTATGGGGGAGGCCTATGTGTAGCAGTGGACTTTAATAGGCTGTGATTTATGGATATATAGAAGATAATCTACCAGGAGCATATGACTAACTGAGAGGTGAAATCATTAAATCAACAGTAACATTACAACTATGGCAAATATCTCCTCTATGAGATCTATGGGGGAGGCCTATGTTCAGCAGTGGACTTTAATAGGCTGTGATTTATGGATGTATAGAAGATAATCTACCAGGAGCACATGGCTCACTGAGAGGTGAAATTATTAAATCAACAGTAACATTACAACTATGTCGAATACCTCCCCTATGAAGACCCCCTGTTTGAACGGCCGTTAGCAAACTCATCCACGTGCACTGTACATTGTCATAGGAGTCATCGTTACGCAAGTAACGGTGCAGAATGATTTAATTTCACTTTTTACAGCCCTTGAGAAAAGCCGAAAGGCTTACAGCAATAACATCATCAGCCCTTTGGGACAATATATGAGGGAGGCCTGTGTTTAGCAGCGGACTTTAATAGGCTGTGAACTGTAATGGATTGATGAATGGAATCAAAAAAACTGAAATCACTACACTAACCTGCTCTTTGTCTTCTTGCGACTTCGGCCACAAGGTGACGTTCAGAACAATCTCCCCCATATCTTGATTCGGTTTGTTGGGGTCCCGAAGACAGAGGACTAGGTCTTGAGTGCGGCCTAGTTCTAATGCTGTGAGGTCGAGGTAACAGGAGCCCATGAAGTCGTCTTGCAAACCCCAATCGTAATCGAACACCTGAAAATCACAAAATACGATAAAATAGAATTTTTAGATTTTTAACAATGTTCTCTAAACCCGTTACAAAAAATAATTTAACTGTCGAGACATTAATGCTATTTAAAAAGTAAAGATCTATTATGCTACGATATGGTCATCGAAAATTGTTTCTATCTCATGACAACCAAACGTTATAAAGTCCTTTTCGTAAAAAGTCATAAGCTGTTGTCTAATTGTTACATTAATATATTCATCCCGTATTTTATACCCTTCATCATCATACTCCACAAGTTCACTGTTAACCATAGGCCTCTTCCAAGGAATGCCACAAAGCACGGCCCTGAGTCACCTGCATCCATCAACTTCCTGCATGTCTTACCAGGTCGTCACTTTATCTAGTGGGAGGCCGCCGCCTTACACTTGGCTTACTGGTATGAGACTGTCACTTATATGGTCAGCCCAATCCCACTTTATCTTGCTAATCCGGTGGGCTATGTCGGTTACTCTAGTTCTATTGCGGATATCCTTATTTCTAAGTTTCTCACGCAAGAAAACCCCGAGCATATTCCTCTCCACAGCCCGCTGAGTGTCAGCCTTCTTTGTGTGTGCAGTTTACCTTGAGCTTAGAAGTAGTAATCACTAGTAACACACACTGGTTGTACAATCTTATTTTCAAGTTTTGAAGTATGCCTGACGAGAAGATGTGTCTAAATCTCCCGAACGCTGCCCAGCTGAGTTGAATCCCTCGAATTACCTCTCAGTCGAAGTTGGACTTAACGATCGGATTTCCGGATTAGTCGGATTAATTGTCCCCGATAAATATACTCGTCAACAATTTCGAGCTAAGTGCTCCCAACAACTACCGGCATAGATGAGATATGGACGTTACACATGATCTTTGTTTTGCCCATGTTCATCTTAAGACCTATCCATTGGGAGGCTCTATTGAAGTCATTAAGCATATAAGTCCTCGAGCAATTCGGCCATAAGGACTATAATGCCATATTTTATTGTCGGCAAATCTGAGGTTAGTGATGTACTCGGCATTGATGTTAATACCGTATCCTGTGCAGTCTAGTGGCTAGAAAACGTCTTCCGACTCAATAATAATAATAGTAAAAATAAATGTTACTTCCTCTTAAATAGTATTTTCTAAAGTTACAAGACATTAAGTTACAAAAAGTAACCATAAAACTGAGAGATCCCCTCAAAACCTGTTACCAGGGCAATGACTTCCTGTCCGTCCCCTCTTGCTACGCCTGGTATTATCAACCAGTCAAGGTCATAGAGTGATGACCTCGTATTATGTTATAACATTATAAGCAGAATCACAATATAAGGCTTTCAAAATGGAAACAATGTTGAAGTTATCGACAACAATTATAAATAAAAGAGCGTTTAATTTAAGCTAAAGATTAACCCTGACCTAAACTACCCCTTTGCAATTAAGTTATAATTAAGTTTGACTGTTTTCTTATTGTTCGGGACTAAGAGGGGTTTTTCAAGCGAAGCGTGTGCTCATTTTGATCCTTACTTGTATAAAAAATACTCTATATAATATAATCTATGTTACTTGTCATAGTTTCCCTTTTCTTATTGCACACCTCGAACGTGAAGCGTAGAGTTCGGGCTTTATCTTCTACTTGTCGCAATAGTATTTTTTACCAATTTATGGGGTTGAATCAGGTTTATTATTTTAATACCTATTATGTTATTTGTATAGTCCCACAGATGAAGCTGAAATGGCATATAGCTCCAAGAACGGATGGGGAAGAAAGGTTCTCTAGTCTCGTACTGATAAAGCTATACGAAGTATATAGCGGCCCCCACTAGATGGAGTAACGACCAGACTGAGCTTAACTATACTTTGTTAATTTCTTAGCGAAGTCTATTTTCAACAGTGCACTTGTATAGGATTGTAATGATGGATGAAACTAATGATGATTTTGTACCATTCTAAACGTAAGGAAAAGCACTTTTTTATAAGTGGTTACGCTACAGTTATATTATTGATGTAGCATAAATAGGTCGGTTCAACCGAGGAAGGCCCACGCTCTCACAGAATACCAGCGTAAAATAGCAGCTTAATGCTGCTGTGTATCGTGTGGTGAGTGTAGAGATCCGGAGACCTGTTTTACTGGAATCGAGACATCTTAGTCCTCAGGGGTGACAACGCACCTATCTATTTTGATTCTAAATCGAGCTTAAATGTAGATGTGTATAGGCCACAGCATTCATTTACCATCAGGTGGACTGTGTGCTCGTTTGCCATCCTTATTCTATAAAAAAATTAATCAACGAAACACTTATTTATAAGCGTTTGGATTTTATTATTTCTCGCAATAAGAATTATTTTATATAAAATATATTGTTAAAAAATTGGATCGATAACAACTTGACGAAACGAAATAAGGTTTTTGCTATCCTCAGCAATAAATAAACTTTAGCAAAACAAATATATTTTTAGAATTATTTCAATTACAAAAGCAAAAATGGGTTAAGAAAACTTGAAAAAAGTAATAAAACCCTAAAATTTTCGCAATAAACACTAACTATACTTAACTAACTTGTTAAAATTGTTTGTAATTTCAACTTTCATAATTGTCGTACCGAGAGTAAAGTTATTTCGGTAGAAAATAATATGGTGTTTTGTTTAAGTGGAATAAAAGATGTCCTTGAAAGTATTTGTAAAATATAGCAAAATATAACTAATAGGCAATATTTCTGAATATCCAAAAAATACATAAAAACAATTCATCCTACGGCATTTGCGTAAAACAAAAATAGGTAATATTATTTTAAATGGCGCGGCGTAGGCCTTGAATAGGCTGATGACAACTACGATGACAACTAAGAAAATAACGAAAACAATAGCTGCGGACTCTTTTTTGGTATGTATGTATGTATATATATATATATATATATATATATATATATATATATATATATATATATATATATTCACTTATATACACAACATTTCACTTATATATATAAGTGAAATGTCACTGACTGACGAAATACGACTGAAAATCTTTTTCTTGATATTTTAGATGTAGGTTTCGGAATAAAATATTATCGTTGCCCAGAGAAGCGAGCGGGTGTCAGCTAGTCCCTTATATAATCTCTTCTTGAAATAATGGGATCATTTACATGATGGACACCGTTACAAATAAGCTAAGTCTATCTAAGCAGCTATTGTTTATAATGTTACAAATAAGCTAAGTCTATCTAAGCAGCTATTGTTTTCAGTAAGTTTTTATTGTAATCGGGGATATCAGCCTAAACAAAGTCCATTAATTTGCCTAGGTCACTAATTTGTCGTAATTATTATCCTTGGCAAACATTTCAAATGCTGTTTTTTTATCTAAATTTGTTTATTTAGACTCACATTGTCTGATAAATTGGGGGTGAAGAAGGGAATATGGTTAAATAGAGAGAGATAGTAATATAGGAATCGAATGGAAAAAGGCTGACATAGGGTAAGGTGTAAGCGGGGTACAGTGAATAACTTTTTTTAAAGACGACAAAAAGCAGTATACAGACGATTAATTAAAAAAAATTGATTGAGATTGGTAGATGTTGATTATAAAATTTAATATTAAATTTGGCTAAATTACCAATAGATTTAAGATAGCAAGGTTTTATTTTAAAAGTGGGTATCATTCCACTGTACCCCGCATTTGGATCTGATACACTGTGTCTATTTGTGGAGTAATGTGGACTGTAGCGGTACACGGAGAATCTTACCTGGGTAACAATGGGTAACAGTACAGTAACCAGGCAATGTGTTAATTAAACTATTTGTTATTTTACTTAATAGTTGTAATCAACCTTATTATATAATCATCTTTTTTTATTTAATCAATTTTAACTACTGTCCTAAAACCACAAAGTTAGTGTCAAATACTGTATCGAAAAATTAACTTAAAACTATTTAAATTATTTTTCTAATAATGTAACTGTAGTTAAATTTAACAGTTTAACTCTCTTCAAACTTTGGTAGTAGTAAGCTCAAAAAAAATAAATAACTCTTGTAAAAGAATCAAATCAAATCTAGTTTTCATTAACCGTGAACAATAAAACACCTTCGATTCGATCTATTTAAATAAAACTAGTTTACCAATTTTATCTTATATATTGATTTATTTTATATTACAGACAATAAGAGCACTTTACAACATCCATGGTCACGGTCATAGTTAACGACAGCAAACTTCAGTTTAAAATTACTAAGAGGTAATAATAAATCAGCCTGTTAATTTCACAAAATAATCAGTTCTCGTATTTTAAATTGTAATAGTCAACTCAAATAAACAAGAAAACTGAAAAGAGAACGAGAAATATCAATGCAAATTCAATCAAGAAAGGTCAACATTGTTGTCGTTTGGGCAACAAAAGAAAGGCGAGGGTGAAATCAATTTTAATTAAAAGCGTTATTTAAGCTTTCCCGTGTAGTGGCGGTTGAGAATATCCACTACCCTATATCCTTTCGTGGGTGTCGTAAGGCGACAGAGGGAAACAGGCAGGAAAACCCACTCGCCAAGCGTGGAAACTATGCAAAAAAGGCGGCCATGGTACACGGCTATTCCTGACAATGGTGGTGACCATGGTAACGGCAGGGCAGGGCTGCTAAGAATCTCCGGTGGAGGTTAGGTTGCCACCTAAGACGACTCCACCTAGCAACATATAACGCTCGCACCCTGAGGACTGACGAGAAGATCGTGGAGCTGGAAGAAGAGGTAGACAAGTTCAGCTGGCATATTATAGGATTATCGAAGGTCCGTAGAGAGAGGGAGGACACCGTAATCATCGAATCAAATGATCTATCACCGGGAGGGCGCAACATGGTGTGGCTAATATTGGTATTTCTTTTTAATTTAAAACTCTAAAACAACTATCGAAATAAGTGATAATAATACCTAACATTTCGGGGCCAATCACACACCGTCTTTTAAAATTTAACGCATTTCTCTATTTAACGTAACTTGCACGAAATCTTTTTAAAAATGTCTTTATTAAGAGAGTCTTTTAGATTGTTTTATACGTTGCATAATAAAATCTAAACAGTTCTAAATAGTTTCGAGTGAAAAACATTCAATAAGCACAGGAAAATAATATATTTGGTAATTACGGATAGCGCGATGGTGGCAACGCATCCATCCACAATTACAGCGTGACTACTACTGGTGAGGGGTGGGGGTGGGGGAGGGCACATAAGGATTACATAGCAAGATTCATCTATTCTTTATGTGTGCATAGTTAACAAACTATAGTTATACGTGTTGATCCACTGTATACTTCGGTCCAGTGTACCTCACCTACCTATGTGTACCTACCTATGTCATATGGGTGGAAGAAATGGAAAGAGGAATGGTAGCTGAGCGTGACAAGATCGCACACCCATATGCTGGATAACAACATGAATAAAGCATGTGTACCGTCTAAAAAAAAAGAAAACCCGTTCGCTGCCCACAACTACAATGCCGCCAACGGCTCCCACGGCCGGTACATAGTTGTGTCCCGTGATTAGATTCCGGGTAATGGGGGATGCCCCGCGAGCCGAGACTTGCGGTGCAATGATGCACTCGCAGAGGTCAAGGATAACGTGTATCGTCTGGTGTTGAACATATTAGTTGTACATACTGTAAATGTATACATATATATAAATAAAATTGAACTGTCTGTCTGTAGTCTGTACTAACGAAGTAGCTGCCTTTTCTTATAGAATAAGGGAACAAACAAGCACATAGTCCACCTGATGGTAAGTGGATGGAACCATAATACAGTTGCAGCGTGGCTCTACCACGTAAAAGAGGTTCTTTGTTTGTTAAAAAGGTAGCGGGGAGGAACTGGATAAGCGTGGCAACTAACAGGAACAAATGAAAACACTTGGTGGAGGAGGCCTATACCTATACCGCAAGGGGTCATGAACTTTGAATATCTTGAAGCGTGAAGAATCGACGCTCCGGGAAATCTGCAGTCTGTGAACACGTACAGGATCGCCCCCGTCACTACATCAGATTTGATAGACCGCAGATCCTCGCTAAAGAACACCGATTCCTTCCAAAGATGATTCGCGAGGCTATTGAAATCAAAAAACATCCTAATTTCAATAGAGAAGATGGCTGGGTGCTACCATCTGCTTGGGATCCAATAATAAATAAAATTAAATCCCAACCCAAGCATACAACTGCAAGACTTCAAGATACCATAAGTTCATACTGCATAGATCGGAACAAAAGTTAAATTTTTAACTATGACATATGGACGTTGAACATCTCAGTCCTGCCCGTGACCATGATAGCTGTAAAGCGTTCGAAACGTCGGGTAATTAAAAAGTTAAATATACGCGATAAATTCCGTAAGAACTAGTATTATTTCAATGTGTAGTGTTCGCGTAAATATAAGAAATCATTAAGAAAAAAGTTAAATTCAACATTAATTTGTAATGCTCTTATTGTCAATTAATATGTATTCATGGTATAATAAAAGGCTATTTATTATTACTATTTTATGTGAATAAAATCTTACGTTACCTTAAGCTGTATCGGAACGAACGGGTCCTCGATCGGTACCGTAAAACACTCGTCCCAAACTGGATTAAGATCCCTATGCACGATCTTCGACTTATGGAGCAGTCTGCCCCCGGCCTTGAACTTCACGTAGGGGTCACTGGTGCCTGATAACAAACCTGGTTTTCGACCCCACAAAACATACGATTAGAAAATAAGAAGCCAAAATAAACGGAAACATTAAGCAGTAATTTCAACTTTCATTATACAGATTTAATTAACTAACTAATATTGATTACATTCTGATTTGTTAAATATTTTTAATAAAATATCACATCATTAAATGCAATGTATATTGTATAAATGCATTATAAATACCATTGTATAAAAAATTTCTCAAATTTCGAAAAGGAAATGTTTTATTCAAAAATGCTTGAGTATTTTTTTACAATTAAGGCTGAGTATTTTTGAATATTGAAATAATTAACATTTTTTAATGATTTATTTCCATATTAATTTTAATTTTAAAACTCGTTAGAAATGTGCTCAAGGGCGCTAAACTACGGAAGCAAAAGCTCTAACTAAATGCAAATAAATTTGTAAGGTGCAAAGTAAAAAAAGTAAAAGAAGGAATGTAAATATTATATGGATCTTCCATCATCATTTAAATTCATAATCCTGCTCTTATCCCAAGTTATATCAGATCGGATATACTCGTATCATCATCATCGTCATCATCATCATCTTCATCATTAGAGCCTATTAAAAATCCACTGAACACCTGTTTGTTTACCATAAATTGACTAATGGGGGCGATATTTGCATAGTTGTAGATACTATAGATTTAATAATTTCACCTCTCAGTGGGCTATGTGCTCCTGGTAAATTATCTTCTATACATCCATCCATTACAGCCTAATGTTCATTGCTGAACATCCCATTTGTGACGTTTGACAGACGCGTTATTGCCGCAGTGTTTTTATTATCTCAAGAAGATGCTGCTGCTCATCTCCTGATTTGTTTCCCTTTGTCGCCTCTTACGACACCCACGAGATGATATGGTGTAGTTGATTCTCTTCTTCGGTATATACGTATATATACGTATAAGCATGACAGTAAATTGTGTATTATATAATAGGTACGTGTGTATTATTGTGTGGTTACAGAGGTGAAGTTTAGTGTGTGGAATAATTTGCAAAAAACATAGGTACCTACCTAAAATTGTACCATACTTATCTAAACTAAAAATATATTACATCTAAAATTGAATTCGGAAAATGTTACCGGTACTACGTTAAAACAAATTGTTGTGCGGCTGTCGTAGCGATATAAAATAAAAAAGAAATCGTGTTAGCAACGATATATGTAGGTAAAAATCTCTTGAAACGATTTGTTAACGATAACAAGAGAACTTCCCACACTAACACCACACTTTTTTCAAATATTTTTTATTTTACTTTCGAAAGAAAATGAAAATAAATTTCCTTTCTAGAGTTTGGCACAAATTATAAGCTGTGCTTATAATAAAAAAGCGGATTTTATTTTTAATCAGAATAAAGAGCTATACATTTTTAAAATAATGTTGTTAAGTGCCAGTGAGTCTATATTTATGTGTTCTGGTTCTGTGATTTGTGAAGTGCTTTCAGAAATTTACCGTTTTTATCCATGGCTACTAGGTTTTGGCCCCTCTTCAGATGTATCCTCAGTTGGAAGAATGCATATTGTCTAAGTTGTTGTTCCCTCAGTCTTTGACCTTCATCTGGTTCCTGAAAAATAAATTTGTTTTTATTGTATGTTTTTAGTTAAAGTATTATATATTGCATTTAGTTAAAGTTACAGTCTACATAAGTCCTACTGCTGGGCCCAGGCCTCCTTCAATTTCTGAGAGGGTTTTAGGGCAGGGAAATGTCCGTAAAGGAAACTTCACATGTCATCGAATTTTTTTTCTTATTTCTCAGATATGCAGATTTCTTTACGATGTCTTCCTTCACCACCGAGCACGTGGTAAATCAGCATTTAAAATTGCTATTAACAATTTCATTGGTGCCGGCGGGTATCAAACCCGTACCCGACCGTACCGCTAAGCCCCCGAGATACTATGCCTTGTTTTATTATAAGTTTTGGTTTGATTTAATTCAATGTAAAAACTAGAAATTATAACTAGAAGAAAACCACGTCAAGTTTATCTAGATTCTACATGGTAGAGAACCTTTTGGCTCAGGAGATCGTTAATGGTACCACTTTTACCATCAAAACTTCTCAAGTTTTGTCAAGCAATTTAGATATTATGTGTTTTGTGTACCTTCAGTTGTTTTAATTTATTTAGTTATTAGCAATAGAGGCTAAAAACGCTTATCACCGTCGTGATATTGCACGCCTCACAACGCGAGCGTGGGAGTGCTCTGCTCTCAACATGCCGCTATGTGACGATATTGCAAAATCGTTAGTATGTCTTAATTTAGACACTAAATCAATAAAAAGGAATGTTTTGAAAACTAGTTATATTAAATTATAAAGTCAGCGTATTTTTCTTATTCATTTGTTTAGTTATATTTACAAAAAAAAAAATGTTACTAAATTATTGGTACGGCTGACAGTCTATGTACTTGTTTGTCTTCACGTTTCAAAAAAATATACACAACGAAATGAAAGAAATCTTTCTGAATAAGTTTCCATTTATCCTCCGGATTATCCCTATTGTTGCTTGTTATCAGATTCACAGACGTTTAAAAGTTATTTCTTTTTAAAGAACAAGAGTGACAAACGAGCACACAGTCCACCTGATGGTAAGTGTTTGCTGTGGCTCATAGACGTCTACATCTGTCCTCGATTACGTGAGGACTAAGATGGAATGCCTCATTTCCAGTAAAAAGGGTCTCCGGTTCTCTACACTCACCATACGAAACACAGTAGCATAAAGTTACTATTTAACACTGGTATTCTGTGAGAGCGTGGTCCCTCCCCGGTCGAGGCGACCCATTCGTGCTACTGCCATAATATAGCTGTGACGTAGCTCTGCCACGTATAAAGTAAAATTATTTCCAAATCATAGTAGATTTTGAAGTCCGTGTTAAGTCATAGTGTGTCTGAGAACTACGATTAAGTTCCAAATTATTTTATTTAATTAATAATTTTTGAACCCGATTTTACTTTTATTATAAGTTTAATTATTTTACCATACTGAGTGGTGTAACATCGTTCAATAGGTACATGTCTTCATTCTCGCTTAGTAACTTTTTTCATTCTTTTTTGGTATAAGTCCTACACAAACATGGAACCTGTAAGTCCCAGACCAACATTCAGCTTTTTCGTGTTTTACAGATACATTTCGGATAGTATGCGCAGGAATCGCATGATTTAATCCCCCCCCCCCCTCCATTCCATCATCGGGCCACAAGACGCTCGGCTGGTCACGCTTTGAGATCGGATTAGCGATCATAATGTGTACAGGCGTACATCAAGCGAGTGAAATAATTTGCCTGCATCTGTGATTCAACCCATAGTAATGTAAGTGTCGTCAAGGCAAGACTGAATAGGCTTCTTCGAGCGAAGCTACCAACTTTAGCTGCATTACCATTTATCATCAGGTGGTGTAGTAATTAAGTACTGGCTTACTCAACCTAATATTTAGTGTAAAAAACATTGTCACATGTTTTTAAAACCATACAAACGGTATAATCAAAGTTGTCTGTATACAATTTCAAAAAAAACCGATATTTATAAAATACGAAAAGACTTTTCCCCCGGAATACTGGTTTTATTAAACTCATACCATTACGTTTGAAAATCCAGATTTATGTTCATGTTATATCAAGGAAATGTTTCTGCGGATTATTCTCGTGTGTACAAAATGAATGTGACAATCCTATGTGCACACATATATTCAAGACAATAAAACGCTAAGCATTTCTATTTTAGTTATGTTAAAATACACTTATTCAAAGCAAACGATTTGTGAAATAAGAATAGAAGGGGAGTTGATCGAGCAAGTAGACGAGTTTGTATATTTGAGCTGCGTATTTAGCAGGGATGGGAGTTATGATAAGGATATAGAACGACGAGTGAATGCGGGAAATAGAGTAAATGGGGCCCTACAATATATTGTGAAGAGTCAAAATGTGTCGAAAAAGGCACGCATGGCAATTCACAATGCTGTGTTGGTCCCTACTTTAACGTATGGTAGTGAAAGTTGGGTGTGGCAGAAGAAGCACGAGAGTAGAATGAACGCAGTAGAAATGCGGTCGTTAAGAAGTATGTTAGGGCTGAATCTGAATGACAGGGTAAGAAATTGTGTAATAAGAGAAGAGTGTGGTTTGTAAGATGATGTTGTGACCAGGATTAAGAAAGGAATGCTTCGGTGGTTTGGTCATGTGGAAAGAATGGATGAGGAAAGACTGACAAAGAAAATTTATGTTGCAGAAGTGAATGGCAGAGTCGGAAAGGGACGTCCTAGGCGAAAATTTATCGATCAAATTGGCGATTTATTAAAAACGGGCCAAATTAGGAGTACCCTTAACCGACGAGCATGTATGCGTAGGTGTATGGATGTGAAGGAGGCGAGAGAGGTGTGTCAGGATCGTGCCAAATGGAAGTCTGTAGTCTCTGCCTACCCCTCTGGGTGACAGGCGTGAGTGTTTATGTATGTTTATGTATGTTATGTATTATTCAAAGCAATCATTTTAGTTTTCATTTAGTTTAATTTATTCATTTCCAGTCAATGTTTGCTGTTAATATTAATGTAGTTTTTTTTATAGCTCTCACAGAATACTAGCGTAAAGTAGCAGTTTGATGCTGCAGTGTTTCGTATGGTGAGTGTAGAGAATCGGAGACCCGTTTTAATGGAATTTAGGTATTCTATTTTAGTCCTCAGGGGGACAACGCATCTGCATTTTGATTCGTAATTGAGGATAGATGTAAATGTCAGATTAGGTGGACTCTGTGCTTGTTTGTCACACTCATTTTTTATATGAAAAAACTGGTACCAGCTCCTTCATAATAATCATTACAGCCAGCCATGGAAATCTATAAAAAAAGTTTTCTTCTCGTATTAGTACATTCAGTATAACAACAATAAATAAGATTTAATGAGAGCGGGAAGCGTGACCTTGCCAATTTGGCAGTAAAGCTTAAGAGCTTCCGCTTCGCCTCGCGTTCGAGGTGTGCCATTCAGGTTGTATTCGAGAGGTGTAAAGGAGAAAAAACGACTTCTTCTCGAACGTAAACTACACGCGTGCTCTGATATTTGACGAATATGACTCTGGCGACCAAGAAAATGCGGTATTAAGTTACACTGTGCACAGGCAGAGTGAGAAGTTTATGAGATGCTTTTGTGAGAAGGTATAGTAGATCAGAACGCATCAGTAAGCCACGTATTGAGAAATACGTTGCTTACTGTTGCAGTCTGATCTATAGATATAGAGAGTATGAAATTGCCCAGTATTAGAGTTATAGGGTTAGTTAAAAAAAATTTCAATTCATTGTGGAAATTCAGAATTTGTCAGAATGTGAATTCAATTCACAATACTGTGTTAGACCCCGCTTTAATGTATAGTAGTGAAAGTTGGGTGTGGTAGAAGAAGCACGAGAGTAGAATAAACGCCGTAGAAATGCGGTCGTTAAGAGGATAGAGTAAGTCAGCTCAAATTCTAATTTCGTCCCCACTTGCCCGCGCGTCGTATGCTATGTACCGACATGTTTGTAATCACTAATACTGTAAGTAGAAAGGTCGTTAGACACTTATTTCATTAGGTTTATCATATTTATGCCTGTTTCTTAACGCCAAGCCAGCCGCTTTATTACAATACTATTAAAAAGACTTGAAAATGTCGGTATCAGAGGCACTCAACTCAAACTATTCAAAAGTTATCTTTCTGAGAGATATCAATGCGTTAGTGTAAATAATATTACCAGCAATGATTTACTAGTAACACACGGCGTACCACAAGGAAGTATACTCGGCCCAACCTTATTTCTTATTTATATTGATAATTTTACAAAATTTAATCTCTCTCAGGGACATATAATTTCGTATGCAGATGACACTGTTTTGATATTTGCTGCGGATACGTGGAAAGATGTATTATCGTCTGCACAATTAGGTATAAATGCAGTTACTAATTGGCTTTACAGTAATAAACTTTCAATCAATATTACGAAAACAAAATATATAGTTTATTCATTAAGAAAACCTATTCGCAACCTTGATAATTTTAACTTAGTGATTCATTCATATGATTGTTTAACAAGGGATAACAGCTGTTCCTGCCTTTCACTTGAGTCTGTTGAATATATTAAATATCTAGGGGTTATAATAGATAGTAATTTAAATTTTAAACAACATATTAACACTCTTAGCAAAAGAATTCATAAATTAATATATATTTTTAAAACTATTAGACACGTTTTGGATCCAGATATATTAAAACGAGTTTACTTAGCTTTATGTCAGTCTATTATAACATACTGCATATCAACGTGGGGTGGTGCCTCTAAAACGGTGTTACAAAAGATAGAAATCTCTCAACGTGCTATACTCAAAGTTGCAACATTTAAACCTTTTCTTTATCCTACATCACAGCTTTATGATAACTGTCAGGTCCTTACAGTAAGACAACTGTTTATATTAACGATCATTCAGAAACAACATAACTTATTAGTATACAACCGATCGAACTTAAATAAACGCAGGAAATTTTCCGTAGATACAACTAATTTTAAAACAACTTTTATAAGAAAATTCTTTGCATTTTTGGGACCACACTTATAT